CGGATGCCTTTGTCTCGGGGTAGAGGGCGCTCCGCGCCACGACGAGGGAGGTCAGGTTGGAGGCGCTGCCGCCCTGGCAGGTGACGCCGCCGGCGCGGGGGCCGTTGAAGCCGAAGAGGTTTGCAAACTTTCGTGCCGTGATCTTTTCGATTATGCTCAGTGCAGGCGAGACTTGGTAGACGTGGAGCTTGGTTTACTTAGCAAGGACAATACCGCAAGACCAGGGGACAGGTGAACTTACATTTGTGTTGAGAACAGATAGAACGAGATCGGAGACGACGCCAACCTGTGAAAAGTCAGAGCTTCATCTAGCGCATCGCACATTTACCAAAAGGGTTGCGAACATACCGGAGTATTGCTTGCATACAACTTATCCATGAAGCCCTGGTCCCAGGTGTTGACGCTGTACCTAAGGATCTTTTGCACGACATCGAGCAAGCCCTCCTTACCGAGCCCATCGCCCTCGGGAAGAGAGAGCTTTAACTTTTCGACCAACGTCTCAGGCTTCTGGGTGTCGACCAAGACATTGCTGGGGACGCCTTCAATGTCAACGGATGTGAAGCCGTTGGCCTTTTGGCCAGCTGCCTCATCGGCTGCTCTGATGTACGGGACGATCAGACCCTTGACGGCATCGAGCAGCTATTGAACAGGGAGCAGGCAGATCAGTCGGGATGTCCGGGCAGCATGTCGCACCCAGCCTAGCTGACGATGCTGAGACACTTACATCCTCTACTTCCTCGGCTCTTTTGAGCGTCTGCGGGACTGCATGGTGCCCATTTGTGCCGTTGGTGCCGTTCATCGTTGTTGTGCTGAGAGATCGAAACTTCCCTTGCACCGGCCGGAAGTTTGAGAAAGTTTCGAAAATTCTTTCAAAAATGCCAGAAGCTCAGACAGTGAAAGATTCGTCAAAATTACCGCTCAAACTGGACCGGATGGAATGGCTCGTCGGTATATCAAAGTCTTCGAATCGCTTGCTCGGTCCACTCTATGTTTCTCCAATGTCGACTCCGACCAGAATGAGTAATAACGTTTGGAGAAATTCTTCAACAGCCGGCGTTAATTCCCCGATGACGGCACATCGGAGCAAAGTGGCGCGAGCCCACCTTTACCCACCCGGCTGGGAAACTAGCCGCAATCGCCGAGTCTGTGCCGTGTACGGCATGACAAGGATCTAGTGTTTCCAGCTTGAAGATCGAGTGGTGGGGTTAACAGCGTCGCCGCGATCACGTTTCGAAATCTCACGTATGTGATTAACCAATTTTTAAGGAATGTCTGGATTTGGATTTACCCCAAACATATTCAAACTCCTCAATATTCCACTCAAAAGTCAGACGCAGCATCTACGTTCTGCTCCACACGCATACCGCTGGGCAGATTGTCCTTGACCGCATCCTTGATCACCTCACCGCCAGTCCTCATAGCCTGAATGATGCCAGCCGCAGGCATGGGAACGCCGACCTTGTGTAAAATGTCTGTTTGCTCTGCGATTGCATCGATGCGGGACTGAAGGCCGTCGGAGATTTCCTGCTGCTTCTAAGATGAGAAAGATGTCAATGTTAGTGATGTTCATTAACGCAGAAAGTCCCTCAGCCCGAAAAGACACAAGGACTCACCTGAGCAACAAGCTCATTTATAGCCTTATTAGCAGCATCTGTGAAGTTATTAAGCTGGTCGCGCTTGGGAGCGATCTCCTCAGCAGTCCTTGTGACCTTGCTTAGTTCCGTGAGAAGGTAAAGGCCCGGATTAACGTATTTGGCATGCACATTGGTATACATCTGGCAGGTCATCTGTAGAAGATCAAAGTATGCTTTGATCTGCAGAGTCGACATGTAGATGGTCTCGATGTCGAGATCATTAAGCTTCAGCATGCCCTTCTGAGACGCCTCCTCACCAACAGCGGTGGCGTCAGTGTCAAAGTTCTTCACCTTGGTATCAATAATGACCTTGACCATGGTAGAAAGAGCGTTGAAGAAGGTGGTTAGCTTGCTGATCTGCACCTTAAGCTCAACCAGAATGGCGATGCATTCAATCAAGATCTCTTTGACGCGCTCAAGGGCTTTTCCAGTAATCTCAATGCCCTTAAGTTTAGTCTGAATCCCAGTCAGCCTCTTCTGAACTTCCGCGGCAGCTGCTACAGCATTAGTATAGTTGGACTGGGCAGTCTCGAGGGCTCTTTGATTAAGGGCAAGTTTCTCGGTGGCCGTGCTAAGGGCGGCAGTGACGGCACTATTGTCCTTCTTGTCCACAGAGATGTTATTCAACTTTGGTGCATTCGAGGAGGATCCAGGGAACGACTTTGCTGTGGCTTCGAGCTTTGTGACGGCAAGCTTCGCCTTGGTGATGGCATCTTGCCACTTCTCAATGGAGGCCGGGTCAGTCTTGGCGGAAGTAAAACTTTGCTGATTGGCGACCTCTTTTTTGATATCCTCGACAATAGCAATACTGGAGTCAAAGACAGCGGTCAACTCAACGCTAGGTTGACCGGTACCCAGCTTTGCAGACTTCTGTTGCATCTCGAGGTTGGTGAGGAGCCAAGTCAGGCCCTCAGTACCGGCTCCGTTGTTAGACGCCTGATCCTTGAACTTTGACCAGTCGGGGGTATTGCCCTCACCAGAAGTAAGATAAGTCAAGAGCGTGGTGATGAAGGGGGCAAGAAGAGGGGCTGCGACATAGGCAGGATCGGTCTCAGGAGTTGCGTCGTTGAACTGGAGGGTTGCGCCCCTAGGCTGAACGCCTTGATGGGCACCGAGAAGAGCCCGGGCAACGGGCGGTGCACCCGCAGCGTTGAGCGCACCTTGGCGACCAATTTGAGTTAGCCCATTTACAAGTCCATTGACTCCAGTCATGGGATTGGCGGCACTGATAATGGCAGGCAGTGCCTGGGCAATAAGCACGGGTCCTGCCGAAGTAATAGAGGTCAGAGCACCCATAGCGCAGGTCTCCCAAGCTGCGAAAAGACTTTATTAGCGATGTATTCCATTGTAATAGGTGAGACCAAGTCAAGTTACCAGATGGTACAGCGTCGTTGGCGGTTTGAAACGCCTTCTCCTGCTTCTGGAGCGACTCCTTCATCTCTTCAGAAGCCTTGTCGGCCCTGTCGAGTTCCTTGTTTGTGTAACTTGCCTCAATCTCAGCCCGTAACATAGCGCTTAGATTCGTTTGAGACTGCTGCTCAGTCTTCCCGTGTTCCTGAACAGAGGCCTGGTGGAACTCGGAAACAGCTAGAAGCCAGGTATCAAAGGCCTTTTCGGTTTCTTGGGCATGGTTGAGGCAAAAGTTGGACAACCTTCGCAACTTTACAAGCTCGTTCGTTAAGTTGCGCTGAGTGTCTGGGAGACCCTGGATGGCCCTGATAGTGCCAGCGATGGCCTCTATGATGTTGGAAGACTGGCTAGCAATGGATGACATGTTGCTTCCCGCAACGCGAAATGCCTTGTCACCCTCGCCGGCAACAAACACCAGACACGCTCTGAGGGTTGGATTTTGGGCGACACTGGAAAGGTTTAGATTACTGTTCCATTGGAATGCCTGGAGAATTAATGAGGGGGAACGAACCGCAGATACTTGAATCCCCCAACTGGGACAGAGTCTTTCAAGCTAATCCTTGCAGCATCGGGTGAGGCCGCGGCAACATGGCAGGAACCAACTAATGTAATGGCAGTTGGAGCTGCGGAAAGAAGCTCATTCCAGTTGTATTGAAAAAGAAGGGATTCCTTGACCTCCTGAACAAACTGGGCTCCCGCTTTGCCTCCATGAGTCTTCTTCAAGACGGCCTGTTGAGCGGCTTCAACCTTGGAGAGATAATCAACAGGCATGATAACAATAATTGAAAGAGGAAATCGGATTTCTTGAGGGGTAATGGTAATTTGTGCTAAAGCAAGGTGATGGATAGTAATGGTAATTCAAACCCCCATTTGGAGTGAATTCGATGGGGGACTCCGGCTTCTTTATACAAGATAACGAGCCAGTTTGTCATTTCCGGCTTTAGGAGCTCCAGATATACATGACTATCATGCTCAGCTAAGCCTCTGGAAACCTGATCACTATGACATTACGGAAAGCTGAGACCTTCGCAGCTTGCAGTGCAGTTTTCGACTATTTCCTGTATCTTGGGTTCTGTCTGTAGATGCGCCAGGCTTTACAGACTCAACATCCTCCGCCGAATCTCACTATGGATGCGGTAGTATAGGATCTGTCTTGCCACATGCACGCAGCCACTGCTCCATGCTCATGCAACCACTGTTCATTGGCTCTTTCTCCGCGTCACTGTGGTGGTTCCTTTACCTGAATGACTTTTCAGCCACCCAGAGAACATCGCAGTGAAGTGGTTTCGCCGAAAGCGTCTCTGGAAACAGTTCGTCCGCACTTCTTTGCACGCTGATATGGTGGTCTCGATACGCTAAATACATCTTCAGCCAGCCAGAGAATATCACATGAAGTGGTTTCTCTGAAAGCCTCTCTGAAAACAATTCTTGAATGCAATTTTGTCAAAGAGACTTTCAGCTAGGTAGCGCAATTGAGACAGACGGCACCTCTCTCCGGGTTCATGTGGCTGAGGCCAATGACAGCGGAGAGTGAAGGCTAGCGGCTGCGAAACAACAAAGTGAGACAACGCTTGCGGCTGGGGGCAAAAACCACCAAATGGGAAAGTTCAAAACATCATTGTAGGAGAGCATCCCTTTCGGCGCCTTTCGTGCTCTGGATTCAATATTTTCAGCGTTGCGATGTACCAGTGGCTCGACAGACCAAAGCTGAAGGAAGAGTTCTCCACCATGCCGGTGGCTTGCCAAGAAGGGATCACTATCTGGAGGAGGTATTCGGAGAATGAACCAATCGCAAGATGTGGTGTTTGGTCTGAAAGCCCTTGGCTTAAACAGGATCCCACCCCTATAATCTTTATAGGGGATCATCGCTCAGTGGGATAGCCAGGTGCCATCACTCTACATTCTTGATATTTAACAGATTTATGCTTCAGAGTTTTCTTTTTCTATTCTGTCACAATGTACCACATATATCTTGACTCGTTCTACGGATTTCAGTCCAAGTCGAACCAGTTTCAGCAACGTCTTGTAGAGTAGCGTGCTGAAGATGGCACGCTTTTCAGTGAAGCTGCCACTTTACTAGACAAGACCAATGATGCCGCCTTTGAAGGACTTGAGACCTTAGTTGTTCAGCTTCTGCAGATAGCAGATGGGGTTTCACCTGTCGGTAAAGACACTGTACCACAGCTACCCATTGCTATCGAACTCTTCCACAAGTTGGCCAAGTCCTGTGAAGGTTTTGTTGACCGTATCGGTCAGGAATTCATAGATACAACTCAGTATGGTGGGGAAAACAAGCAACTTCAAGATAACATCCAGAAACTCCTCGTCGACATTACTAGGGAGATTCGTAGCGCAGAAGGCGCGCTTCAAAGAGCTCAAGACTCGTCAAGGAGCTCCTTTGAGCGTCTGACGACAGCTAGACGCAATTTGAAAGATGCGGAATATGAGAAAGATGTAAGCGAGCTTCATTTATCGTAAAATCATTGCGCTATCTTCTAGACGTCATGTGTAGAACTGGTACGAAATATCTTCTTTTCTTGGAGGGGGCGGAGACATCGGTAACCAGATCCGAGTGAACGAGCAAAACGTCAAAATCTGCCAACGAAATTTGGACGATGCCGAGACGGATGAGAATGACTGCAAGAATAACCTTTCCAATCTGCAGAGCTTGGTCCCAAGGGTACAGGAGCTTACCAGACTCCTGGGTGATCTCTTCTGGCAGATGAATGCTGAGTACGAGAAGATCGTCAAGGATAGGAAGATCATCGAACGGACTTGGGTGGCTATTAGAACGCTTGACTACCACGTCAGCACCAACGATGTCGACACCTCTCGCGATGACATTCTACGCCATGTGGTTCAGTTGATGCACATGAGAGTGGAACAAGTGGATAAGGATCCGGATGTCCAGCGTTTCAAAGAGAACATCGAGAGACGGATGCGTGAAGCACTGGGCGAGGCTCTGGTGGAAGAGCTCCACCAGGAGAGGAAATTCCTCCTCATGGAAGATGTCGACTTTTAGTCTATTTGTGCTAGTTTCAATTCGGAATCTGTGCCTTGCTTGATTCTCGCCTCTGAGACGAAAGAAGGAGCGGCTGCCACCACTATAATTCAAGGGCTTCAAATGTGTAGGAGTAAGGCAGATGAGGCCAGTGCCATAAGTCAAAGTGCAGAATTAATACAGTGTCTAGGCATCCGCGGCTCGGCCGTCGACGCTCGGGGCGGTTTACGGGAGAATCCACGCACGAAGAACTGGCGGCAGATGGATAAGCTGAAATTTCAAACTGTCTGTTGGTGGCTGCCTGAGCTACGAACAAAACCCTGCCTGGTAGATATCACACGTGTGGCGGGTCGACTCCAGCGCATGAACCTCTAGTCATTCTCCAACTTAGAAATGATCCTCAATTTTCGATGTGCGGGAATAAGGGATATAAGGTCGGATGGTCATATAACTCGCCAATACCCCCCATATCATTGCGCCCCATTGTACTCAAGTCGATCCGCGATTGATGGAATATGTCGAGTGATAGAACTGCGAGTTGTATCCAAGATATGTTTGCAGTTAGAAAGGAAACTAGGCTGGCTGACGTGGAGGGGCCGGGTATGGGGAAGTGGCGTTGCTTCCTGAGCTAGTATCGTGCGTGCCAACGGTCAGCCAGCCACAGGACGGAGAACGCCGGCGCGTAAAGGTGCCGAGGTGTTGCTTCAAGCGGGGTTGGATACATATCTCGAAGCAGTACGGATAAATTTCTGGTCAATAATGTCAAGTCAATCAAATGTACACTGTATAGATCTCCAAGACTATCCCGGAGATGTTTGCCCGTCAACCTTAGAGGGCTGGAAGAGCAGACCTTCGGTCGAGATGATTTGAGACAGGCTGGCCCAGACTCAGCAAAACCCACACCCAGGTCGCCCCAAGGGCTTTGTTGATTGATACACTGAATGAAGAGGCCGAGCTCACACACATAAATACTTTTTATTGGCGGCCCGGTAGAGTGTGAGCAGTCAGGTGGTAAAAAGGGGCAAGGCGTAGTTCGCATGGCTAGCAAATCACGGCACTGATTGTGAAACATCACAATGCACTCAGCTCAACCAAGTAATTCACCTTGACAAGCAGCACGCCACATATGGTTTGCATCGGGTAGAGTAGCCTCAATTGAACTAATATCACTATCACATCCATTGGCCTCGGTCTAGGTTACGATGGATTCTTCAGCCGCACAAAGTCACCGAAACCAGCAGCCTGGTGTAAGGTTCGGTGTGGCTGGCTGATTGGAAACAATACCCAGATATTTCTATTTCGTCAGCTGATCGCCTTCACGAACCCATGACTGTATGTCTCCTTCTTTGGGATAATGCCATGTAGAACCCTCACTGGACCAGTCACTTCATCAACCATCACACTCTCGATTCCGGGCCAACTTGCTCAGCCGTGGTCCAGAAGTGTTACCATTTGAGCCACGTCGTATCTTCAGGTCGGGCAGACTCAGACGCCTTTCCCCGTTTAGAACCTGCAGAGACGGCACGAGACGAAGTACCGGCGTTTGCACACAAAACGCCACCACATAATTCAAGGGTTGCAAAGTACGTAGTCTGTACTGAAAAACGATTAATTAGCAAGACAATTCCAAACCCGGACACGAAAGTCAGCATTATAAGTGAAGTAGCTCACCCTTTCCTATTGTACAACCAAAAGTGCCAAATCGCCTTTTCATTTACCTCTCTCGGATATAGAACTCGGTACGCAGACTACGATTTTGGTCCAAATCTTATGTCTGGCTGACAACTTCAAGTAAATCAGATTCTCTCCACAAGAGGCCGCCTCAGACCTTTGTGCCTTCCGCCGCTTTCGGGTTGTAGCAGCCCTGTCGAGATAACAAACTCCACCTCGAACGATCTCGTAAGTGTTTTAATGCATTGATATCCTAGTGTGTTTATTAAATGGGGGCTAAGAGGCTATAGGCAAGATGCAATCGAATGCAAGCTCCGATATTGCAGACAAATATGCGAGTATAGTTCCTGGCCCTACCGTCCTTGAGCTCCTCACCGAGTTCAAGCAAGAGGAATTTCTCAAGAAATATCTGAACCCCAAGTCTCTGCCGAATAAGTTGAGCAAACCTTTGCTTGAGGATCACCATGCAGAAGGGGCAGCTGAAGGAGTCTGCTCGGCTGCGGTGATGCACTGGCTTGATACCGGCGCCGTCCCTCCTCCCACCGAGGAAATGGCTGCAGGGCTAGCCCGAGTTCAAGGCTCCTTTGAGGCTGACACTGAGCGGGATTACTGGAAATTGTGCAGCAACCTATCAAAATCTTCCAAGAACCTCAAGGAACCTGTCAAAGACAGCAAGGGCTTAGAACTCAACATCACGCAAACTTTTATCAACTATTTGCTTGACAACTCGGGTAAAATCAACACAAAGTTCAAGCTTTTCCTCATTCTTGGTTTCGTGGATGGCTCTGCCCATGCAGTTGGCTGGAATCTGGGAACCAAAAGCTTCTTCGATCCCAATTATGGCGTTTGGAGGATCAAGACTCCTGATCCCAAGAGTGGCATTTGGAAGATGATACCTTTTGCCAATGGCCCTGATGCTGCCACAGACATCGCATACTCAATTTCTGGTTTGGATGAGATTCGCAGTAAATATGGAGCCAAAGTCTCTATCAAAGCCATCACTTTCTAATCTGTTTGAGAAAGAACTGTCCTGTAGAATACTCAACTCTAGATTTGGTATTGTTCTAATGAACATTTAGGAGCCAAAGCGATTTGATAGAATGAGTTAAGAACAATTCCCATGGTCCTCGGATAGTGAGCTGCAGTGGGCAGCGATACATTCAGTAACATTGTAACCTAATAATAATATCTAGATCAGCATCTTCTTTCGACGAATCACGTTGATTGGGTTCATTCCAAATGGCTCAATTGACGTCCTGGATTCTGTAGATAGACGCGTTATTCTGTTGCTCGCATTTGAGTTCTCCAAGAGGACAATCAATCAGCAGATCAAGCCTGGCCAACGTGCCTAATACGGACTCCGGAGGACCGCTTGCAAGTAGAGGACCCCCGGTCGGATAGGATGCGGCACAGTCAGATCTCTCCCACCGACCCGGATTCGTCCCACTGAACCGCCGTATCAAGCAAGTGGTTTAAAGGTGTCCCACCCGGAATGTCTCACCGGGTACCCAGAGTCTAAATTAAGGTGGCCGATTTTTGTTCGGCCCTGCTCCGGATCCCGGTGATGTAGAGTGGCCTACATCTAAATATCAACGCCTTTCTAACAATCCGTCCCGACATTATACTAGCCAGCGACTTAGCGACCTAACGACTTGCGACTGGCACAGTCCTTATCGACCGACCTTTCAAAATACTATTCGAGGGAGCCGAATCAGGGATACAGTCGAGCACCGTGACTACTTGTTGGAAGATTGCCCGTCTCTGAGGTACAGTACACTGGTAGCACACAATAGGGATCATGCGATGTCAAGCCCACCTATTGTCTCCCATAGACTAGGAGTCATCCCCGCTCAGCTTTCACGAACCCGATCAATCGGTTCTCACACCGTGACAAACCCTCTAGCGATGCAACCCGGGCATTAGTCGGCGTCCAGCTTGCTTCTCCAAAGAGTCCCGAGGGGACGGAGCATGAATACGCAGAATCAACAGACGACATTTGTTTGAGATGCCACGGAGAAAGTTTCACAGGATTGAAAGCTGGAACCCCCGGGCCCCTGTCACCCCACGACCTTTCCAGGAAGAAGGGGCATACCTGTGACCAATGCGGGTGAGGTGGCATTTGACAAGATGTTGAAACGCAGGTTCCCTATCGTCATTGGAGGATAGAAATCCGTACACCTGATTGTACCATGATGTTTCCTCCACACTGCAGAGTACGAAGTATTCGGGGAGAAACCATGCAGCTAATTATTAATACCCGCTGGGCTGACCTGCATCGGATTGCGCCGCCATCAGCCGCCCAGGGACGAATCTGCATGCAGTCCGCCTGATTGACGCCCGAGATCGTAAGGCGTTCTATTTTGCCATGTGCATGATGCACCTTCGACGCAGGGGGAGGGAAGCGGGAATGCATAGAACAAACATTGTTCGATCGAAGGGGATTGCCCGCCTGCAAACAGGAATTGGAGTGATCGCGTGGCACGACAAAGCGAACAAAGAGAATGATCCCAGAGACACACGTGGTATGAGATCCAGGAACGCCCCAAACCCGAAACCCCGGATGAGAAAACGGTCTCAGAGGGGAGGGGGGGAAGAAGTGCTTGCTTGCTTGCTGCTTCTGGTGGATGGTGTACGGACTACGAAGTACTACGTACCAACCTGACCATGGAACCGGGAATCAGGGCCGAGTGGGCGATGCGACGGGCATAGCGTCGTCGCTTGGTGTTGAACTTGAACCCGCCAGACCGGATGCACTTGGTTCCATTTGCCAGGCATGCTTTGCCTAAGTAGCGTGAAGCGTGAAGCGTCGCTGGAAGTCTCCATGTCTTGAGTCTTTGGGCTTTCACTCTGGAATCGGGAAACTGTTGCAGAGTAAAAATATGTGAGTCTCACTCGCTCTCCTCACAGTGAGACACCATGCACCAAGAAAAACGTTGTCGTAAGGCATCAATTGAAATTCACCATCCCAAGACGGGTTACGAGTTTGACGCAGAACTAGACAAAATAGGAAGAAGGCGAGGAAAATCTTTTTGCAGCTTTGCGCCGTTGCGGGCGTTATGAGTCGTTGTTCCTGGAACCTATTCCTGGTTCCTGGGGTTGGTGTTTGGTCGCTTAGAGGACGATCAACTGTCGCCAAACAGGGGCAGCCAACAGTTTACGGGTTGCCAGCGTCGCTTCTCGAAGGGCAAACACCATCTTGGATCGATTGATTGATTGCGGCCCAGCCTACTGGGTGAGAGGTGGTGGTGGTGGGAGGCGGGCGTTTTAGGCCGAAAAGAAATAGGTGGCTGCAACTATCAACGTTTTTCAAGTTGTACTTTACGGATAGACGAGCAGCCAATGCGACGCAA